TGCCCCCTTTACGGACCTCTTAGGAATGGGGTGAGGTCCACGGCAGACAGTTTAAGGTTGAAGCTGTGGGGGTTTGAGGATGTAACAATGGAGTCAGGTAGAGCATTCCAGGTGTTGACCATTCTGTTGCTGAAGTCGTATTTTCTGCAATGGAGTTTGGAGCGGTTTACCTTGAGTTTGTATCTATTGTTTGCCTGTGTTTTATTGAGGTTGACACTGAAATAGTCATTGGCAGGTAGGACATATAGCAGACAATTTTGTGTACTATGCTTAGGTTAGACCATAGACGGCATAGTTCCACATTAACCAAGCTCAAAAGTTCGAGCCTGGTGGATAAAGGATTATATTGTGAGCAGAGGAGTGGAGTACTCTTCTTGTGAAATAGCTCTGGACATGTTTTGTATTTTAAGGTATTTCAAACTAAGCTTCTTATATGCTGAAAAAAATGTATTTAACCACCAGAAACTCCTGAATTCCACTGCCAAAATGTGCCACCTCATGCCCACTATGACCTGGAATTGACAGGAATTACATTCCCTTTATTTACTGTAATTTGATGGATTAGGGAACAGCTTTAGATGGGTGGAGTATGTTATTAGAAGTTTAATTATCCTGGGTTCAAGATAATTAAAAAAAATAAAAATAAAGTAGCATAATTACTATTCTGTAACCACACTCTGGGAGGGCTTGAAAAGGATTAGCTTTTCTCCAGTTTAGGTTTTAGACAGGAACAAAACAACAAAAGTGCTACAATGGCCCAGTCTAATATTCTGGAAATTATAGCCATATAATTTAGCATACAAAATAATGTTGTCTTCGTTATGAAATTGGCATTTAACATGAAGGTATGTTCCACTGAAAGGAATGTGATGGCTCGGTGGCTAAGACACTGAGCTTGTCCATCCGAAAGGTCAGCAGTTCAGCGGTTCGAATCCCTAGTGCCGCGTAATGAAGTGACCTCCCTTTACTTGTCCCAGCTTCTGCCAACCTAGCAGTTTGAAAGCATGTAAAAATGCAAGTAGAAAAACATTGTTGGGGAGGTAACAAGGTTCCGTATGCCTTTGGCGTTAAGTCATGCCGGCCACATGACCACAGAGAAGTCTTTGGACAGCGCTGCTTCTTCAGCTTTGAAATGGAGATGAGCACCGCCCCCTAGAGTCAGGAACAAGTAGCACATATGTGCGAGAGGAATCTTTACCTTTACCATTTTATGTTCCACTGATGATGTGTTTTGGGGACTCCAATTAGGGCTCAAAATAATTTGTCCTTCTGATTGAGGGGTTTGTGGTTTATGTGAGGAAAGCTTCAAGATGGAATACTTCTGGCACAGGTTTTAGCACTCGAGGTGAATTCAAGAAGCCTTAACATGCAAACTTGTCTTCAATGTCACATCTTTTTTTTTCCCCTGTCCTGTATTGTAGAGAAACCAGGATTCTGTCCATTTATTCGTGAAAAATGTCGGATGCTCAATCCACCCAATTACTGTGATTATGACTTCGAATGCGTTGGCAACCTGAAGTGCTGTGAAGGGATATGTGGGAGGGAATGTCTTCCACCAGTATATGGTACAGTATGCACTGAGATTATGGTCTTATAAGATGTGAGACAGACAAGATTTTGCCAATGATTCTAGGATTGATCTATACATGAAAGACATAGACCCGTGATGGCAAACCTATCGCACATGTCTTCCATTTTCTGGCATGAACATGCGCGCCAGCTAGTTGATTGTCACATGCACTTGCACACCTGAAACCGGCTAACTAGCTTGTCAGTGTGCAGGCATGCACCAGAAACCAATTCATTTTCTAGCATGTGCATGCCCCCGGGGCAGCTCCTCTTCTGAGTTGCGGCCCAGATGAGCAGATGAGCAAACCACATGCGCTCCCTTTTCACCATAGAATAGTCTATGTCACCATGACATAGACTATTCCTACAAAGGAAAATGAGCCTGAAAATAGGAAGTAATGCTGTTCCAAATGGTAGTTCTAAGTAGAAGAGACATAATGGTATACAACGGTGTATAACTATTAGTAGAGAAGAGTCATTTTTATTAGCTTTATATGACATGTTGTTTGAAATCATAGTTCTAAAGCCTATCTTGGGCATCATAGTTTATGGCCTATTAGGCATTTGGTGTGGGTTTTTTTCCCCTTACCTAGATCCAGTAATGCTTTCTCCATTAATTCCATGACTATGAATAGCCAGTATGCACATAATCACTCCAATTAAGTTTGGGATTACGTGTTAATGAATGCATTGACAAATGAGTAATTCACATTCATATTATTCATATAATCTTGATTATTGATTAAGATGCAATACTGCAAAAACTAAGCAGTCAATATGTTTCTAAATAAGAAACATATTTTAAAATATTTACAATCTGTCTTTTCATTTTGACAAGGTCCTTGAGATTGCTTACATTTAAAATTGAATATTAAATAAGTACCACGAAATCTTAGAGCCCTAAACTATTATCATAAGAATCAGGACTATGAAATACAACATGGACAAAATATCTGATAGAAAAAAAAATTGTAGCCCCAAAGCTTCTTCTTTTTTTAATAATGAGTCATTTGAATTGTTCCTTCGAATGAATTTGAAGGTTGGGCCAATCATATTTTGGAGTGATTTCAAATGTTACTACACCTAAAGATGTATAATTAATTCTCACATTCAGAGAAGGACACATATTTAAGGCTAATGTCAGGTTGGCTACTATCAAACTAAATACAAAAAGAAGTATCCTAGTGTTAACCTGAATTCATTTTAGCATTTCCTTATAGGGCAAGTCGTGATTGTTCATTAATCTTCTATATTAGGAACACTGGTTGTGCAGTAGTTAGAATGCAATATTGCAAGCTAACTTTGTCCATAATCTGGATTTTGATTTTAAGGGGGCTTGTGTTTGACTCAGCCTGCCATAGCAATAGCACTTAGACTTATACACCACTTCATAGTGCTTTTACAGTCCTCTCTAAGCAGTTTACAGAGTCAGCATATTGCTCCCAACAATCTAGGTCCTCATTTTACCCACCTCGGAAGGATGGAAGGCTGAGTCAATCTTGAGCCGGTGAGATTTGAACTGCTGAACTGCAGCTAGCAATCAGCTGAAGTAGCCTGCAGTACTGTATTCTAACCACTGCGCCACCTCGGCTCTCCATCCTTCTGAGGTGGTAAAATAATTTTAGGGTCAAATTATTAAGGTTAATATGCTGACATTGTAAACTGCTCAGAGAATGTTGTAAAACACTATGGAGCAGTACATAAATCTAAGAGCTATTGCTATTATGTTGTAATATATTCCAGATTCTTTTGCAATAAACTCAATCCAGCTATGAATCCAAATGTGTTATTACTTAAATTTTTCATTTATGCTTTTGCTGTTTTCTAGCTTCTCGGGTATATTCCAGAACTGTAAGATGTTACAAGAATGATCCATTTTTTATGTACTGGGGCTGCTAAAATCAATAATACAATCTTATCTGAGCATTCGATTCACTGCAAAACTTACTGAACCATGGTAAGTGGCTATGTGGAGTAGGTCTTTTCAGTAGTAAACTCACAACTTTGTACTGCTTTGTTCCCTTTGAGTTTGTGTGATACCTTTGCTATGTTCAAGAGGTGCATGCATCTAGTGGAGCTTGGATAAACTCAAAAAGGATAAGAAATTAACTCCTTAGTATTTGGATGGGATACCACCAAGAAATCTTTGGGAATAGATTGATCAGATGTTAAAAAGCTGTCTTGGAAGATCCTAAAGGCAAATCGATTTCATATTGTTCCCAGGAAAACAACCTGGATGTGTCCATGTCACAACAAGAACTGAGAAGATCCTTTATCCTTTCAAAACTCTTTCATTCTTCAAAGGGTGTTTTTTTTTAAAAAAAGTGCTCATTTCTTTTGCTTGTACCAATAATATTTTTAGTAGTTCTACTATATTTCTACTGAATATAGCCTCCACTGTTCTTAGGCAGGTATTTTACTTTTTATTGTTTTATTATGTATTAGAATTATGTTTTAATTATGTCACTATTTCTTTGTTTATCTACTTATTTGTATGTTTGCTTATTTATTTAGGGACGGAGTGGCTAAATGGCTAAGATGCTGAGCTTGTCGATCAGAAAGGTCGGCAGTTCAGCGGTTCGAATCCCTAGTGCCGCGTAATGGATTGAGCTCCTGTTATTTGTCCCAGCTTCTGCCAATCTAGCAGTTCGAAAGCATGTAAAAAATGCAAATAGAAAAATAGGGACCACCTTTGGTAGGAAGGTAGCAGCGTTCCATGTGCCTTTGGCATTTAGTCATGCCGGCCACATGATCACGGAGACGTCTTCAGACAATGCTGGCTCTTTGGCTTTGAAACGGAGATGAGCACCAACCCCTAGAGTTGGGAACAACTAGCACATATGTATGAGGGGAACCTTTATCTTTTACCTTATTTATTTATTTTCAAGATTTATAAAACCACTCAGCTTAAACAATGGGATTCTGGGTAGTGTACAGCATAAAAAACAAAAAATAAATAAAAGGGGGGGGGAATCGCAATACAACAATAAATACAAAATGTAAAGCATATAATGGCAACCAGCAAATAAAGGGGATTCTCACTTAAATGGCCTCTAGTGCTTGGGAGAAAAGCAGTAGGCAACCACCAAAGTCATATCTTTTAAGTCCCATAATTTGACAAGTTTTAAAAGAGGCAACCTGAAGCATATCCTCCTTATGGACAGTTTTTGCTTTTAAATATTACAGATTAGAAATTAAACCATACCCTTCAGACAGAGTTTGCAAACTGCATAACTCACCCAAACAATTGAAACTAGTTTCCAATCTATATTTCTGGAGTGTAATGATAGCCTTTTAATTCAACAGACACCTTGTTTTTTCCTTTTAGGATAATGACCTGCTACTCTGAAGGATACCTAACATCAACAGTGCTTCACCCACACGCATTCTTGCGGTGAAGAGTCAACAGCCAAACATTCATCGCATCTGCAGAAGGCAAATCCATTTGGATGATTTGTTGATTAGCATCTTCAAAAGACAGCCAACATGTTGTAGTGCTTAAAGTGGTGGACTAGTGATGTTTACTTAATGTTAACAGGCTAATCTACTTCAAAAGGCTGTTGTGAAGAAAGAAATGATAATGTACATGTATTTATGTACACAGAAACACACACACACACAACATGATTCTCCCATGTTACACCCCTTTTAGGCGGCCTGCACTGGTTGCCAGTTGTTTTCCAGGTGCGATTCAAGGTGCTACTTATGGCCTTTAAAGCGCTCCATGGCTTAGGCCCAGGGTACCTGCGAGACCACCTACTGCCACCAGTAGCCTCCCACCGTCCAGTGCGATCCCAAGAGTTGGCCTCCTCAGGGTGCCGTCAGCCAGACAGTGTCGGCTAGCAACCCCCAGGGAGAGACCCTTCTCTGTGGGAGCGCCTTCCTTCTGGAATGAACTGCCCCTGGAGCTTCGCATAATCCCCGACCTCCGGTCCTTCCGACGTGCCCTAAAAAGTTGGCTTTTCCAGCAAGCCAGCCTGGCCTGAATCAAAATAAAATGAATGATTGATTATTGTTAATTTTAATGTAATTTTTAAAATGTTCTTGTTAATATTAATTGGGTTGTTTTTGGATACTCTTACCTAATTTTCTTTTTAACTTTTATAATATGTGTTTTTTTAATGTTGTCCGCCGCCCTGAGTCCTTTGGGAGAAGGGTGGCATATAAATCCAATAAACAACAAACAACAACAACAACAGACAGATGCCAACCCGTCTTGAATCTAAGATCTACAAGAGAACCATCCTCCTGTTGC